GACCTCAGGTTCTCCACTTTATGTCGCAGACCTTCCGTTTGCCGACCACTTGGGTCCCAGACCGTCAACTTATATACATAGTCATATTTGCTACACCGCTCGATTCTTGGACAAGCGGTTTATCTTAGCTGATTTATATACTCCATCAACTAATAACCGATTAGGTGACATTATTTGGTAATATGCATCTAGATCGATCTCCAAAGTATTGTGATGTAAAGAACACCGCTTTTGGTACAAATGCGCAAAGATATTCACAAATAATGAATCAGTATTTGACGAGTCGGAACTCGTTGAGTCGGACCTCGATGAGTCGAGAGTGCAAAGGCATTCCATAATTTGACTAAGATTTTGTATAAAAGAGACAGAATAGCGAGTGGGAGCCACTCACGTCACATTTACTAAACAAGAATAAGAGATAATCAATACAGAATATAAAATTATGACCCTAAGACACACGTGCACTTCGCGGTAAGTCCTTTTGCGGGATACAATATGACGGCCGTCGAACCTTGAGAGGCATAGCTTGTAGATATTTCGAATGATAGCGTTAAGAGGTTAAGTCGGCCCTGAGTGAGCACTCGCTAAAAGTGCGCCTTCAGAATTGTCCAGTGGTAAGCCGTTGACCCAATAGATTGAACCGTTTAAGTCTTGTCGAGCGACAATCCCGGCAACTCAATAAAGATACCACTCAAGACTTGTCCAGCGACAAGCCGGTGGGTCTCAGCCGAGGTCACCGTAACTCCTCTAGTCGGGTGCACACAGCACTTGGCGAACTACAAAAGTGCGTAAAGTGTCGGCTTCTACCCTTTGATATAACTTCATAGAGGTGAAAGGTTTAGAATTTGTTGGGCTCAGGCAGGCTTCCGGCGGATTTTTAACTGCGAAAAGTAGATTAGGCGAAAGAAACAACTGGACCTGAAGGGGATAACCTCAAAGTAATATCTTCAAATCCCAACGGAACAGTTGAACTCGCCGACTTAACTCGGCTATGTTGTTGTGTAAGTGCGTTGAAAGTGTGATATTACAATACTCACTAACTACCATACCACAGATATTTCATGTCTATTGAATAAGAAAAATGATTGGGAGAGGCTAAGAAATGGGTATGAGTTAATCCCCAAAATCATGTTATATATGGGGAAGATATATTTGTCAAACGTTTCGACCAAAAACGTCAGTGAAACGTGCCCAAGTCAAGGTCAAAGATTTACAAGCATATTTAGCTCAATGTTTGGACATAGTCCTAACAATTCTAAATATATTGTTATTATATTCAGAATTTTTAGGATTTGGTAGTGAAACACAAATGTTCGAGCAGTATTTTTAATTAAAAAAGAATATTGCAATGATCGACGTCATTATTAGAATTCCGGCCGGAAATTCATACATGTGTTCAAGATGAAAATTTAGCATTCCATGGGATCAGTTTGGAGGATTTTTATCTGTATCCGGAATAGGTGTACTCTGTATAGATGTTTGATAGGTTAGAGATTCGTTTTATCTGGTAAATATACAGACTTTAATCCCTCTTCTTCTGCTCGTTCGAACCTTTGGACAAAGTTTCTCTGACCTTTCGACGACTGGAGGCAAATGTGTAATAAGACAAGGAAGATCGGTCACGAATCGCTGGCTAAGATTGCAAAGACAAGCACCAAATTTGTTTGGCCTGGATCTCGAAAGTAGTCACAAGATCCATCTGCGATAGGACTGAGAGAACAAAGAAAAGGAAATGATAGCAAGATCTCGGTGAGGATCGAGTGGTCAATATTGTATTATAAGAAGTTTTGAGACCGCACTGAGTGAGATCAACGCAAAAGAACCGGATCGCTGTGTGAAGATTTTGCACAGTAATCAACTTTCGTCTGATAGCACAACGCGAGATCGACTCCTCCCTGGACCGTGATGAAGAGCTCAAGACAGGCCAGCCGACGAATACACAAAGTGAACACAAGGATATAAAGCAAGGCACGGATTGGAGTCCCCCTTCGCGAGTCGGCAAGTCTAGGCAAGTAGAATTTGTGACTCACCTTAGCAATTTTGTTCGATCAACTTCACCACATGTTCGTTTTAGATGGAATGTACTTGCTCGTTGGAAGGAAAACGATATCTACCAGGTTAAACAAGCACCCTCCGCTTGTACTGAAAAAGTACAAGCTACTTCAACTGAAACAGCACCCGAACCTTGACTCACATTGCGCGTGATGAGGAAGGCCGATCTTGTAAAGCGGACATGCTTAAATAAAGGAAAAGTAGACCGGTATATAAAATGATTATTCGTCCAATAAAATTCTTTTTATTTATGTAATAGGATACCGGCAGTCACGTACTGGTAAACAAAACGACGCTAGCTGTCACTGACAGCAGAGATTGTGAGCACCCTTTCAACTCACGTGCACATTATAGAGGAAGGATTACTACCAAGACGATTTAGCTTAGTGGTGGTACAAGCAAAACTGTTTTACATATAAATAAGTCCTAATCTATTTTTTCTGTCAATAACTCTGTACTCATTGCTCTAATATACGACCATGCATTGTGAAGTCTTCTCACCACAGCCCATTGCGTGCGCCAAGCAGCGATTGGTGTGTTACTATCACCCCATAAATCAATGAACGAGTAGACCGTAAGGTCACTGAATGGATATCATTGTGTCTTGTCATATTCTAAGAGGGACATCCACAGCACTAATATTCCTTATAATCAACCCTTATATCTGGTAGAAGTCATGTAACAGGTCCACCCCGTTCCGATCATAGTATATCAACGACAAAACCCACAATATAGATACCTGCCGCCCCAACATTACGCGCGTCTAGCAGCGATTGGAGGTTTGGTTATATGTTTTGATGGCCGATGGCAGCCAATGAGTTAAGCAGTGCCAACTATATTCATATTCGGAGGTAACGCTCGACAAAACTATATAGTATTTGCTCGAAAAGATATATTGAAGAGAATTGTTACGTGCCGATACTAAACACCTTAGTTTTAGCGATAATGACATATAACGGGATCACCTTGTTATCGATACGAAGTATCAGGAGCTGGGAGACAAGCTTAAAGAGCTGCGTTAATGTCAACCCATGCCGACTCTATAGCTTTTTCATCAAAATGGGTGATAGTGCTCATGTGATGGGACACTTGTCATTCCGTACTGGAACACCAGTACGGAGTCAAATCTCACTAACAGCAGTGAAGGTCAGTGCCCTGCTAGGGTTTATGCACTATACAGAGGAAGGGTAAACATTTGAGGCAAAGGTTCTAGTTGTAGGAAAGCAAAACTGTCATTTAACATAATTGAGTCCAACATCTCTTGTTCTCTGTTTTGACGTAATGTAATCATATCAATATAACTAAGCGTATGATGAAGTCCACTCACCACCCATTGCGCGCGTCCAGCCCCCCCCAAACAGCGATTGGTGGGTGATATCATCTCATATATCAATTAGTGAGTAGACCGTTGGGTCATCTCGACAATATCACTGTATTAAGTGATATTGTTAAAAGAATATTCAAGATAAAATTCTTTATTACCATTTCGCACAATGATAATATTATTGTAACGGGCTACCCCGTTCCAGATCAGCTGCAGCAGATCAAAGAAGAGATTCGGGAAGAGACCCATGGGACAGATGGTGCGACGTGCAAGGCGGTGCGTCTACTTTGATGTTGTGCCCGTCGGCAAAAGGGTCACTCGGACTGGAAAGGTCAACACCATGCAAACTGTCTGCTGTCCGCTTGAATTATACAATTACAATGTCTGGGACTACAGGATTTTACTTAACCTTATCATCATTGACAATAATATATAGAATGCATCCAAATAGCTGACAGAGGTGTCTTCCTGTGCGTCTGGCAAGCTCAGACCGCTCCAAGTAGTTGTTGCCGGTTTAATATCCCAACAGCCTACCCTAGGCTCCAGAAATACGTTTGACTCACTAGCCTCACTGGTACAGTTCCACCCGGGAACCCTGGTACCAACGAGCAAGGCCTCTCAAAGAAGCATGACCCCTAACAACAAATAGTTTGGGCTATTGGAACAGGTTGGCACCCAGAGTGTCCGGCAGAAACGCTTGTCGCGTGGGACCTTAGCCACGACCGGTAAGGGACGTGTCGCCCCGAATTGAAGTGCACAGCAACAGGTCGTTGGAAACCCTAAATGCACTGGCTGGGCAGTAAAATAAAGAAGCTGACACCGAGCCAAATGCAACGATACATTCCACCTAGATAGCCATGTTGCTCATCCTGGCTATGACTTCCAACTGCTGGACATAGCGGCTATAGAACGAGGTCGGTAAAGCCCAGTACATGTACGTGCTAGAACATAAACTTGATAGAGGACACTTGTTGCAGGGAGGAAGCATGTAGGCAGGTATGCCACACGCAGAAGGGTAAAGCTCACTTATCGAAGACTCGCAGCGCATTGTGCTGCGCAGAAAGTGTAAGGAAACATGAAAGGTCCGCACTCTTTGAGTCAAGGCTGGTGAATGCGATGCAACCCGTGTGCAAAGCACACTTACGAGAAATCTCGGCATACAGCGGGACAACGCTTCTGTTAGCTGCACTGCAAGGAGGTAGTATACAGGTCGAGAGATAGATGACAACATTTTAAGTCGCGTTGTCAATGCTCGAAGGGAATCGGTCAGATCGGCTGGCGTTACCAACAAATTACGATGGGACAAGCAGCTGGTCGAAGCATGTTCCGTCGTCGGCACAGGTTGTCTTAAAAGACTAATCCGCAGTTATGCCGACGGCGAATTCTCTCGTTGCTTCTGTGGTCGATTTGGGCATGACAACGAACGCTAAACGTCAAGCAGGCGATTGTCCGACGACGGGAAGTGTACGAATCTGATAAGATTTCCGAGCTCCATTCGAGGAGCCAACGGCACAAGCGTTTGGTTTCAAATGCACTTGAAGGCGGCGTGCTTGCCATTTTCCATTCTTCATCCCTTCACAAACTTCATTTACTTTGCTCACCACCTCCCCTTGATCGCAATCAGATGGCCAAACGATCGTTTGCGCCGGCGAAACTCCCGGTCACGATTCTCACGGGGTTTCTAGGAAGTGGCAAGACAACGCTGCTCAACCACTTGCTCACGCAGAACCACGGCAAGAAGTTTGCCATCATCGAAAACGAGTTTGGTGAAGTCGGTGTGGACGACCAGCTCATTCGTCAAGTCGCCAGCCCCAATGACTTAGGCGGGGGCGATGCCAGAAGCCGCAAATTCAACATGGGTGAAGAGATATTGACCATGAACAACGGCTGCATCTGCTGCTCAGTACGAGGTGACCTCGTTCGGCTGATTGCGCAGATCGTCCGACGCAATGGAGGTCGTAACCAGCTGGATGGGATCATCATTGAAACTACCGGAATGGCCGACCCTGGTCCTGTGGTGCAGACCTTCTTTGCTGAGCCTTTGGTGGCGGCAACGTGCAAACTCGACGGTATCATCACTGTCGTCGATGCAAAGCATATTTTGCAGCATTTGTGCCCAGGCGCTGGTGTAGAGCGCGAATGCCAAGAGCAGATTGCGTTTGCCGACCGTGTCTTACTAAACAAGACGGACCTGGTTAGCCCGATGGAGCTCAAGGAGATTCGGTCTCGGATCTTCGACATCAACAGCACCGTGTCGATCACCGAGTGCCAGCAGTGTCGAGTGGACTCTTCCGAGCTCCTTAACGTCCGGGCTTTCGACTTGGACTCGATACTGAAGCGACAGCCTGACTTTCTCAAGACCGAAGAGGTCAGTAGCGGTGCGCACGACCACGAAGACAAGAAGGATAGCACTCGCACCTCGACCCACGAGCACAGTCACGAGAACGATCATGAAGACGAGCAACCTTGCGGCAGACGCAGACATAATCACGCCTTGGTGTCGTCAGTGGGCTTGGTCTTGCCCGATCCGATTCTAGTGGCGCTACTGGAAGAATGGATCGATGACTTGCTAGAGACAGAGGGAGACGATCTATTGCGCTACAAAGGCGTCGTCAACGTCGCTGGCATTGATCAAAAGTACGTCTTTCAGGGCGTGCATACGCTGTTCAATGGTCGCTTTGCCGGCACGTGGGCGCCAGGTGAGACCCGAGAGACTCGGTTTGTTTTCATCGGCAAGAACCTCGACCGCGATGCGCTTACTGAAGGGTTCCTGGCCTGTCGAGCTGGTCAAGACCTACGCTTCCAAGTAGGCGACCGAGTGCTTGCTAACACGGGTGAGGAGGGGTTCCAGGCAGGCACGATCGTGCAGCTTTGGGACCAGGGGAACCCGTACGCTATTCAGCTTGACAATGGTCGCAAAACATGGGCTCCTGTGGACGAGGCTCAACTCGTACGGGCGCTTGCGAGTCAAGAAGAAGAAGAAGAAGAAGAAGAGGAAGCAGAAGAAGAAACGACGAGGCAACAGCCTCCTCTTGCGATGGTCCACATACTGGCATGATGGACAATTGCTTTCCTTTTCGCGTCTTCGCACTGCACGTGCCATTGGCTCTGCAAAGGCAACACGGCCAGATCCAGAACGCTTCGCGGCATCACGCCGCGCTCCTTTGTCAGACGTAGCGACCTCGCCGATCGTGGGGCACGCACGCTCTATCCTTTTGCATGCTTAACGTCAATACCAACGGCTCAAACACGACCGCTCGCTCGCTCACTCACTCGCTGGCCATTCATTGTTGTCCAGTCGCACTTGAAGCAACACGACTGCGAACACCGCGCCGACAAGTGTGCGCATGACGCTGCAACTCGCAAGTCACTAGTAAACGCGCACGTCAACCCGGCGAAGGGCCACGTGAGGTTGTCACGTCGCAAGAACGTCAAACGTTGTGCGCGACGGCATGCGAGCGTGTAGCAAACGTCGATTGGCACGGGACTTTTGAATGGACAGCAGCTCCACGAGAAACCGATATGCTGTTCTCAAGCGGACGTTACAATCAACAGTCCGCTGCTCCACTTGGTCCCTCTCGCTCGCTCGCTCGCTCTCTCTCATTGACAAGACCATGTCCAGTTGTCGCTCGCTCGCTCGCTCGCTCTCTCTCATTGACAAGACCATGTCCAGTTGTCGGTCCTCTCTCGCTCTCGCTCTCTCATTCTCATCCTATTTCTGTCCTGCAACTCGACTACCTCAACCTGCAATGTGCACGTGGCGCAGCAGCGGCGGGGCGACAGCGCGGCTTTGCCGGATAACCTGTCCAGTTTATCCAACTGGCGTGCGCCGCCGTCGCATCGAGCGCAGAAGGGACGGCGCCGGTCGTGAGAGAGAGAGAGAGAGCGCGTTGTTGCTGGGGAACGTGTCTGTTCTGCACCTTGAAGAACGACGAGGAGGAGGACGCCGACGACGACTGACGATCGTCGAGCGAAAGAAGATAAGAAAACGCATCGTCGCGTGTCTCGTTTTCTCTGAACCGAGCAATCAATCAATTCCTCGCTCGCTCGCTCTCCGGCTTCTTCCTCCCCGTTTTCGCGCGGGTCGTCCGTCGCGTTCGTGTGTTTAATTTTTGGTCGGGTTTTAGTTGTTCGTTGGGGTGGGTTTGTTTGTATGCACGGCGTAGCATCCCGAGCGTGGGGTTGTGGTGACCCACAAATCGTCGTCCTACGGCGTTAAGTAACAACACCTGTGCGTTCGTGTGGCCCGCAGGGCCCTTGCACAAGGGCTAGGGGAGGCAAAGCCGCTAAAGTAGGGCAGCAGTCGGTCGAACGCTCGCACCAATCGGTCGCTTTTCCGCCCACTTTTACTGCTCGGGACTCGCAGGTTTTCGCACGCCTTGCTCCCGCTTGCTACTACTTCCACCTACTACACCGTATACTTCACGGACTCGACTCGGACCAGGGCAAGTGCGACGCGGCCACTGTCAATTCCGAAAAAATCGAGACAGACGCATCGCACGAGCCGCGCGCCAGCACAGCTTCTGACGAGATTTGCACCGACGAGTGGCTCTAGCGCACGCGTTCGTACAAACAAAGTGAGCGAGGAAGGAACAGAGCGACGGGAGCGAGAGGGCCCCGACGACGTCTGGAGCATGGCTGGGTACACTGACGAGTGGGTCGATGTGCAGAAAAACACCTTTACAAGAGTAAGAAGAAGAAGAAGAAGCCAACGACGAGGAGGAGGAGGGGGCGGGGCGGGGGCGGGGTGTCTTGTGTGGAGACGACGAGAGAGAGGACTGACGTGTGTTGTTGTTTTGTGTCGATAGTGGGCCAACACGTACCTCTCGCGCAAGCGCATGACGATCGAGGACTTGTACGAGGACCTGAAAGACGGCATTCGACTCATTTCGCTACTGCAGATCGTCTGCCGCGAGAAAGTGTGCCGTGTACGTTGTGCGTTGTTTGTGGCTTGTCGAGAAGGGGAAGAGGAGGAGGGACAGGGCGGAACGTTGGCTCGTGAAGTGCTCGTAGCTGACTGTGTCTGACTGTGTCTCGGGTGTCTGTAGAAATACAACAAGAAGCCGCGCATGCGGATCCAGAAGATGGAGAACCTCAACTTTGCCTTTGCGTTCATGCAGAGGAAGAACGTCAACGTGACGAACATTGGCTCGTCCGACATCCTGGACGGTAACAACAAGCTCGTGCTCGGCCTCATGTGGACGCTCATTAAGGCTTTCCAGGTCGCCGAGATTGACGTCGAAGGCGTCTCGGGCAAAGACGGACTGCTGCTGTGGGTCAATCGGTCGCTGGCTGACTACCCGTCCGTGAACGTGAAGAACTTCTCGAGCAGCTGGGCAGACGGCATGGCCTTTTGCGCCTTGATCCACCGGTACGCGCCCACGCTCATTGATTTTAACTCGATGGACCCGAAGGACCCGCAGACGAACGTCAAGCTTGCGTTTGACATTGCGCGCGAGAAGTTGCGCATTCCGCAGCTACTCGAGGTGGAAAACGTGGCAGGACAGGCCAAACCTGATGAGAAGAGTATCACCACGTACGTTTCTCTGCTTTTCAAGGAGTTTGCGTCCGGCGTGCAGAAGAAGAAGGCCGTGACGACAATCTCCAAGGCGTTGAATATTGCGCAGCGGCACCAGGAACTGGCAGCCGAATTCGACAAGAACGCATCTGGTCTGCTTGAGTGGCTTCAGCAGCAGACGGAACGTTTCCAGACGCTCAGCCAGCCTCGCCACATTATCGACTTGAAGGAAGCACTGGCTCTTCACCTTGACTACAAGAAGAACGAGAAGCCCCCGCGCGAGGCCCAGTTTGTGGCAGTCGAAGGTTGCGCAGGGCGTTGGATTGCCAGTTGTAAGAACAATGGGCGCGCGGTACCGGACTTGGACCCACCGATCGAAAAGTTGCAGGCTCTCAAGGCCCAGCTCGACGAGCTAGAAACGGCCTTTGAACTGAAATTGCGTCAGAATTTGGAAAGCTACCAGAAGACGGAAATCTTTCTCACGAAAGTGGTGAAGGACCTAGAGAAAGTGGAGGCGTGGGCTACAGAGAAGGAGGCGCTGGCCCTTTTTGCTGAAGACCTGCAGGTCAATTCCACTGTCGACGCCGAAGAGAAGCTTGAGAGCGTTTCTTTTTTGCAGGACATTGAGCTTCCGCGCTACAAACAGCTTTTGGCCTCGGTCGTCTGCGAAGCAGATGGGCTTTCCGAGGAGCACTTGGACACGAAGGCCACACTCGAGCGACTGGAGTCAATGAAGAACTTTGTTGCGATGGTGGAAAACAAGGTTGAGAGTGTGAAGACTAAACTGGAAGAGAAGCACCGTCTACAACAGAGTGTGGACGCGGTAGCCAAGGACGCCAAAGCACTGATACGCAATCTGAAGTACGTCATTGAGGAGATGGATGAGGAAGTCGAAGCGGCTACGAAGCTAGAGGATGTATCGACCGCTGGTGTAGTTGCTGCCAAGCACCAGTTCGACACTGTGCTGGTGCCCAAGGTCCAGAACGCCGTTGTGACCGAGAGCGAGAAGCTTTCCGAGAAAAGGGAGATATTGGAGGACGCTGGTCGCACGAGCGAAGTAGCTCTCATTGACAAGACAAATGCTCGTGTGGAGAAACTCTTGGACTCGCTGGCCGAGAAGCGCGGATACTACGAGGAGGAACTTGCGACTGTTGAGAAGCGTGATGAGGTGTGCCGAGAATTCGCGACGCTGTCTACTCGCATCAAGGAACGATGCGCGCATAGCACGCAGTCGATCAACATTGTGGAGGGTTCGCTCAAGGATCAGTTCAATTCGATGGTAAACCTGCGCTACACACTGTTTCGAGCCAATACCAGTGTCATGGTCGAGGAGGACGTGGAGGAGAAGCTCGACGGGCCTGAAACTGCCGGAATTGACACGCCTGCTAGTGGGGAGGTCGATGAATCTGTGTTTGAATCGGAGACCGCCTCGGAAGGTGATGAGGTCGACAAGCACAAGGGTACGACTGCTATCATGGCAGTGACGAAAGCAGCGCAGATCGAGGAGGCGAAGGCAAAGACAGAGCAACTTGTCGTCCCTCTTACCGAGGATATGGATCAGCTGGAGCGCATCAACGAGGAGTTGGAGCGGCTGCAAGTGCATACGAATCCGTTCACGACGGACACGATCCACGGGTTGCGTGCGCAATTTACTTCGCTTGAGACGGCCGTGCGTGACAAGGTCAAGTCGCTGGAGAAGGAGTTGGTGCTAAGCGAGTTGGGCAGCCTTACTCCTCAGCAGGCGAAGGAGATCAAGGAAGTGTTTGACCACTTTGACTTGGACAACGACGGCGTCCTTGCTCGCGACGAGTTTATCATGGCATGCAAGGGTCTTGGTCTGAGTCTGAGCGAGGACGACTGTCACGACTACTTTGACAAGATCGACGACGAGGACAACGACGAGATTACGTTCGATCAATTTTCGACTTTCTGCACGGAGCAGCTGCAGAGTGGGTCCACGAAAGACGACGTGCACGAGGCACTGGACATTCTCACCGGCGAGCAGCTGACGCTTGAGCAGATTGAGGAGCGTTTTGACGCGTCGCAAGTCGAGTTTATCAAGAAGAATGCACCGGAGCTTTTGGAGGCGGATGGCAAGTCTGTGGACACGAAAAGGTTCACGGAGTTCATCTTTAGCGTCTGAACGAATACAGTGTAAGGCTTTGCCTTATGTCAAGTCCGTGTGGTATGTATCGTTTGCTCAATCCGTCACTAAGCTTGAGTGAGCCTCACTTTGTAAGGCGATCAGCTTTCATGGCCCGATTTTAATCATGATGGATTGAACGCGAACGCGATAACGACGGGCTGCTTGGTTGTCGCTGCCTACGACGACGACACTCTGTTTACCATTCGACATCGTCCCGGCCCTTCTTGTACCTGTTTCCTGTGCTTTTTTATTCACTTCTCAATCGAGCGGAAGAGCGTTCGACGTCGCCAATGACTCAACGTTCTCTGCGAGGAAAACTTGATAGCATGTAGTAGCGCCTTCTGTAGCCCAGCAAATGAGCCGAGGTGTCAGAGGTATGGCAAATGATGCTGCCGATGTAACTGCACGACAATGTCGAATGTCGACGAGGCGTATAAATGAAATCATGCAGAGACTCAGTTCATCCAGCACAGCGTTTGTAGATGTGCTTGTTGTACTGATGTTGACAGCCGCATACTTTTTCGGCATGTACGAAACATCAATCTAAGCACCACCTAAGACCCCGTGTCAGATAATCGATGACTTACTTTAGGCAGCAAATAGGGTGCTACATGCACGAAAGAAAAAGCACGTTCTACAGACGCATCAACATCCAGTGCCGACATTTGGTGCTGCGTGTTGTCACAATCAATTCCTTTGGTGCTGCGTGTTGTGACAAACACTTCTTGGACGCAGCAACGTGCAGTTGTAAAGCGCACGCTCTTTGGAAAGACGTGGAACGTAACTTCGTACGGCATAACGAAACTCAAGGAAGGAAGCAGCAATCGCGACGACCCTTATCGAAACAAGTGCTAATACTCGCGAGGCAGCTGCACGAACTTTTGTGGTTAGCGACACGAGCCATTGTATCGAAGAAGCTACGACTCTTCGTCCGTGACTGCAAACTTTAGGTCTCGCTTGCCATTGAAGGCAGCTCGAAATCTAGCGGGTCAGTATAGAAGTATGATAGCGACGTGCGAGATAAACAAGTGCGGCAAGAAGCTGCATATTGCTCGTCTACTGTGTATGAGCCGAAAACACCACTCACCTGCCTCTCTATGCGTTGCACATACTCGATACCTCTGGTCCATTGTGTGACTTGCCGTACCGGTATTCTCGGGCGCTATGTGTCCAGCGTAATGCACTCATGACTCGATTGTACATCGATTCTATAAAAAAGCACTTTATCTCTCTCTCTCTCTTTTTTTTTCCTGTACTACAATCAACGACAACTCCATCACTTGATGACAATGACTAAACCAAATCGAAAACCGAGCACGCACTTTTGCGCTTTATTTATATACATCCAATCCCGTCGCAACACGGCCGATCGCTGCACATTCCGTGCACGTCATTGCTGGAAACCCACCACGTAGTCAGTCGGAATTTCGTCCAACCAGAATCGACACTGCGTCGAGGCGCATCTATACCCCAACCCGATCGGACCACAACTCCCAAGAAAGTCAGTACGATCTTTGCTGCCACCTCGAGCTGCTTGCTGCCGCCGTTCCTCTCCGTCTCTTGCCATGGCCACCGACGCGACCCGCGCAACAGATGCACAAGAAGACGCAGATCAAAATGATGTGTCGTCTTGTCTCCTTACGCTCCAAGAGCCGTCGCTGGCATCGAGCAACGAAGAGCGACTGTCGCTGGCTTTATTGGGGCAGGAAGGCAGTGTCTTGGGCCACGCGTCGTCTCGCGCGCACGGCGACGTGACGCGGGAGCTCTGTGTAGACGTTACTTGCGGCCTCTCGGAGCTCTCGGTACGTGAGCGGCAGCGCGAGTGTGGCCTGAACGAGCTCGCAGGGAGGGAAGACGCGTCTATTGTTGTCAAGTTTGCAGGCCAGTTCCAGGACCCGCTCATTCTGCTACTGATGTCTTCGGGTGTCGTGAGCGTCGCGATGGGACACACGGACGACGCCATGTCCATTGCTGTGGCCATCACGATCGTTGTGACGGTGGCTTTTGTGCAGGAATACCGCTCGGAAAAGACACTGGACGCGCTCAAAGAGCTCGTGCCGCCACATTGCAAAGTGCTGCGAGATGGCACAGTGGTAGACACGCTAGCGAAGGAACTAGTGCCTGGCGACATTGTGGTCGTGGACGTAGGGGACCGCGTGCCAGCTGATGCGAGGTTGGTGGAAGCCGTGGACCTTGAGGTGGACGAGTCAAACCTCACGGGTGAAAACTCACCTGTCGTCAAGATGACGGACGTCATTGCCGACAGTCATTTGCACCCGATTGCTGAGCGCAAGAACATCATTTATATGGGCACATTGGTGCGCGCTGGTCGCGGACGAGCTGTTGTGGTCGGTACTGGAGCGCGTACTGAGTTTGGACAGGTCTTTGACGTAGTGCACAAAGTAGAGGAGCGCAAGACGCCACTGCAGAATAGTATGAACACACTCGGCAAGCACCTCAGCATGTTTTCACTTGCCGTCATCGCAGTGATTGTGGTAATCGGTGTGATCCAGCACAAGGGTGTGTTGACGATGCTTCAAATCGGTGTCTCATTAGCAGTGGCTGCCATCCCAGAGGGTCTGCCGATCTGCGTGACTGTTACGCTGGCATTTGGGGTCATGAAGATGGCAAAACGCCACGCTATTGTGAAGAAGCTTCCTGCTGTCGAGGCACTTGGCTGTATCAATGTCGTCTGCGTGGACAAGACGGGCACCATCACGACGAACAAGATGGAGGTGATGGAAATATTTGTTCCGTCTGAAATTGTGACTGCTCACGTCAATGGCGTTGGCGAGCAAGATTCGCAGGCGTCTCCCTCTAGCACGGCCCAAGAGAAAGCTCGTCCGACCGTCACTATGCGTGGGGAACCTGTCACAGAGGCATCGCACCCTCATGTTTACCATTGCTTGCTGTCCGGTGCACTGTGTAACAATGCAACGATTGTGGACCGTGAGGTCATTGGCCAAGCAACGGAAGGTGCCGTCTTGCTTTGCGCGCAGAAAGTGGGAATTTGTCCCTCGATAACGCAGCAATTCCGTCGTGTTAGCGAGGTGCCTTTTAGCTCGGAAAAGAAGTGGATGGCTGTGTGCTGCGAGTCACCATCGGGTGGTCCAGCTCGCTGGCATCTGAAAGGCATGACAGAGGCTATTTTGCCACGCTGCGATAAGATTGAAGATGACCGTGGTTGTGAGAAGGAGATGACGTCGACTGACCGTGAGCACATCTTCGTGGCATCCCAGCAGATGGCGGCTCGTGGTCTCCGCGTTCTAGCACTGTCGTTCGGCGAGCACTCAGACCGTGGCATGGTCTTTGCTGGGCTTTTGGGAATCTCAGACCCGCCTCGCGCAGGGATTGAAGCGTCTATCCTTGAACTGTCTACGTGCGGGGTTAGGACCGTGATGCTTACGGGTGATTCAAAGGATACTGCTATTGCGATAGCTGCCAAAGTGGGCATCATTTCGAACCAAAGTTTTGGCAATGCTGATTACGACGGTAGGAGAAATAGCGCGGTGGAAGAGATGGTAATGTCGGGCCAGGAGCTGGAGATTATCGACATGGTGGAGCTCGAGCAGCGCATTTTGAAAACATGCGTGTTCTACCGGACATCGCCTCACCACAAGCTGAAGATTGTGCAGGCTCTTCAAGAGGTGGGGTTAATGGTGGCGATGACTGGCGACGGTGTGAATGATGCACCTGCACTGAAAGCAGCAGACATTGGCATTGCCATGGGCATAAACGGGACTGATGTTTCAAAAGAGGCTGCTGACATGATTTTGCTCGACGACAACTTCAGCACAATCTTGTGCGCCATGGAAGAAGGCAAGTCAATCTACCACAACATCAAGCATTTTCTGCGCTTCCAGCTCAGCACGAGCATCTCTGCACTATGCTTGATTGCGTTTTCCACGCTGTTCAACTTGCCGTCTCCCTTGAATGCCATGCAAATCCTGTGGATTAACATCATCATGGATGGCCCCCCAGCACAGAGCCTTGGCGTGGAGCCAGTTGACCATGATGTGATGAGAGAAGGCCCGCGGTCTAGAGACGCCAATATCATTACGCGCGCGATGATCTGTCGTGTGCTGACATCAGCCTGCTTCATCGTATGCGGCACCCTTTACGTCTTTTGGGTGGAGTTGAGTGTGGATGGTACGGTAAGCAAGCGCGATCGCACGATGAGCTTCACCACTTTTGTGATGTTTGACATGTTTAATGCGCTCTCGTGCCGGTCAAACGACAAGTCCATCTTCGAGATCGGCATTTTTTCCAACACGTTCTTCGCCTTCGCAGTGGGGGCATCGCTACTGGGCCAGCTCCTCGTCATCTACTTCCCACCGCTCCAGGCGGCGTTCCAGACCGAGGCATTAACGGCTGGCGACCTGATCTACATCTGCAGTATTGCATCGACCGTGCTCATTTTTGACGAAGTCCGCAAGTGGCGCGAGCTACGTGGGACAATGCGCTCGCCCGTTGCCGCCGGCTTCAAGCAGACGAAGAGAAAGAACTCGGGGGATAACGGCGGAAAGAGCTTTGATGTCGTGTAGGACAGGTAATCCGTCTCTGCCGCGCACAACACGAAGACAAGTTGAATCGACAGAATTGCGCCGCTGTCTTCCACTGTTCGCCAACATGTTATCATCGACCCCTCAGTGTTTCCATATCTCTCGTAGAGCTAGCCTTACCACACCCAGATCTTCTGCACAATCCCCTCAATGAATAATAGGATGTTCAGACCTGCGAGCGCAAGTACGCACGGTACATTTGCAGGAAACGAAGCTTCGCTGCACTTGATATAGCAGCTTCGAGCAGCCGCAAGATCTCGAGGCACGCCGTCGCCCGTCGCCAGCATCGAACCGCAATCGTAGCCAGCCTGTACGTTGCCTAGCTCCGCTGCAAATCTGTAGCGCTCTAGTGCACGTGTGTGATTGCTTGAGCACACACCGGCCCAGGGCTCATGGAAGCATACACCAGTCTTTCGGATTGCCTCGGAGTCGTTCAGCGCCGATGCTTGCGAATATAACGTCAGAACTTCACGCAACAACGGACTGCTCGAGTCCTCCGTTGACTTGGCAAGTCCTAGCCATTGCCACTTGAGAATTCGATCGCCATAGTGCTCCAACAGGAAAGCAGCATTGCATTGACCATCTTCATCCCCCAGCTCTGCTACAAGCCGGTAATGCAAGTACGCGCGTAGATAATCACCTCTCGTGTAGCATTCATACGCTTTGGTCAGCGAAAACGGAAGCGCCGATAGCACATTAGGATGCAAAGCCACTGGTCGGAATAGCGACAGAGCAGTCCGGCAAGAGCGCGGCGTGCCGATGCCTCGAAAGTGCATTACGCCCAGTTCGAATAATGCCCGACTCGATTGGCCGTCGGTGTCATCTACTGCTGCCTCGACATGTGAGAAAGCCATCTTCTCATCGACCGGCAAATCTCCATCACCTTGCAGGTAGGCAGATCCCAGGAACAAATGCGATTCAATGTATCCCAGTGCAATCGCTTCTTCGAAGAGCTCGAGCGCTCGTGTTACGTTTTGGGGAATGCCGTCTCCAGTAAAATAGATGACGCCAAGTCCATGCAAAGCAAACGCCTCCTTCTGCCGAGCTGCGCGGTCAAAGTACACAATTGCTTGTTGTACGTCTCGATCAACACCGACACCTCTTGCGAGAAGCATACCATAGTTACCTTGGGCAACTGGATTACCGGCGTCTGCAGCAAGACGAAAGTATCGTGCTCCGAGTTCTCGATCAGCCGCCACGTGAGCTGCCATGTTGCCGAAGAAATAGGTGTCAGCTAGATGTAGCATCGCCTGTGGATAGCGCTCATCCATGGGGTTATTCGCAATGTCATGGTAAAGCTCGAGCTCATGAACTGCAGCGTTCTCGTCGTGCAGCGGATTCAGTCTTTCAATATCGTAGTCATCAATGAAACTACCTCCTGGAGGATATAAAAGCTCATCTGAGAGCCGCGCGACCCCCACAATTTGCTCGCCACCTTCACTATCAATAATGTGCACATTTTGTTCGGCACACGTGTGATATAAAGGCACAGCAGCTTCACAGACCGAATCTGCGTCAGTCGAAGCGTCTGTCGCACTGGATTTTCTCGGCGCCGAGATCCTGCCGGACAGAGTCCCATACGCCACTGCTAAAGTGGCTGTAAAGTCATGCACTGCCAGCAACTTCGACAGCATCCGATCGCCGCGGATCTGCTTCTGCTGCCGGGACAGTCGCACGATGGTCGAATCCTCCATTTCCCCGGGATCAGGGATGCCGATGAGGTCCAGCATGGCTCGCACACTCAGTGCCGACTGCACACCTGCGTCTGCTGCAACGTAAAGATTGTTGACAGCATCAATAAAAGTCTGTTCATTGCTTGACGCTGCATCGGGTTCAAAAAGTTGCTGGAGCGAGAGCGTCGTCACGGCAAACGCCCAGTCGTCTGCTCTCTCCGGGTCCTTATTAGTCAACCGATCGTCCACTACTTTCTCCAGCTCTTCCACGATCTCAGCGGTAAACCCCTCGACTTCCATGCGATTTATCAATGCCACAAAAGCTTCTGATGCCTTCAATAAGACCAGAGACGCGGTTTGCTCAGTCGCCACGGCCTCTTCTTCCTCCTCCTCCCCCTCGTCGTCGTCCTCGTCGCCTCCCACAGCAGGTTCCCAGTGACCCACTTCATCAATTAACACGGACTCTTTCTTGCGATCCAGTGGACGCCCGAACTGAAGCTCCTCCTGCTGCTGCTCGTTGCTGAATACAGATCCGTCGACTTGAACTTCCCACGTCTCGACTTCCACGGCGTCTGTGGACGACGCGAGCGCAGGCTCCGTCGCGTCCGTCGCCTCGTGAGCATCTTGCAGCTCTGCAGCGCGTGGACCGGACGCGGCAGACGCCGTTGCGAGCACGTACAGCGCGGGGAGCAGCGCACGGACCAAGCGCAAGCCGACGATCATTGCGTCTCGCGCTGAATGTCGAGTGCGTCTTGTGATTGGTGGAAAGGAAAAGGGGTACACGGTCGAAGCGAGACTCCGATTTACGGGCTGTTTGCGGTCTGCTCGCAAAAAAGGGTAGTAAAAGGGACGAACCGACAGCAGGGCCTCCCTCGCGGACTCGCAAACGACGAGTCGACGAAAAAGGAATGCTGAGATTGGCAGCTGGTATGGATATCGCTGTACAGACGGAGGTCTAGAAACAGGCAGCGAACGACGGCGCCCGTAACGATATTATTATGCTTTTCGGTGTTTGTGTGTGTGTGTGTGCGGAAGAGAGAGAGATAACTATGTTTAGTGGTCTCCTGCTTCATTACTGAAGCGATGTGGACGTCACTGATTTTCATCCGGTATGATCTGACGCTACTCGTGTCTAGCGCTTCGCCTCGGTAGAAAACGCTAAGCACAGCCGCACAAACGCCGAGTGGATCAAGCATGCCTCCATCAAGAACGTATGCACAATGACACGACGACCGAGGCATTTTGTGTTGAGAGTGCCGTAACGCTGATGCGCAGTCGAAGAAGTGGCAGGTGCATGAGCTGAAAAGAAAAGGGTCTTGGTCTGACCAGGGTAGCCCTAAAGAGTGCTATCGCTGCCTGCTCTCGGTAGGACAACGACGTTGCGCATATGCTGCAACACTTGCATCTACCAAGATATCGTTCGTGTCAGCAACCAGACCCTACACAGAAGAATGGATCAAATGGTTTGCGACGTATGGCTGGGGAGTACGTCGACCTTATGTGCAGGGCAATTGCGTCGCAAAATGTCAAAAGGTTCTGATACAGGATTGCAAGACTTTGCGAGGCGTTGAATAGAGATCACCAACACCATGAGCTTGTCGATCGCGCGTGATCTTATCACCTCCTCTCGTTTACTGATACACAGTCAGTCTCCTCTGAAGCTTAAAAAGGAGCATGACTGTCAAACGGGGTCGGAGCTTTTTGTCAACTGTCGATTCCAACACGTGGCATTTCTGGTCAAAAAAGCGCATGACCAAAAAGCAACCAAGTTGTGAGAAAAGTAGACGCCCTTTTCTGTCGCTATCATATCTTGCTTTGCTGATTCGAGATATGATAGATTGCAGTCTCATAGCGCCGACGGCGGTGCACCTTTTTATGATTGATAAACACATACCGTATATCGTGACATATCCCGAGCGGACGTAAAAAGCATAGCAACGGTCGGATGAAAGCGCTTGCTCATTTCACTCAGTGGACGAGTTGCTATACTGCACACAACACGTATCACTTCGTCTGCTGGCACTGGCGCAAACCATATTTGCCACCGTGCCGGTCCACACATGGATGCCGTGCTGTCGCTTTCTACGTCAGTGCTACGTCCTTTTCATTTTCACGCGAAGTAAAACGGTAGAAACAACAAAAAGCAAAGTCAACGATACGCGGTTTTAGCATAAAAGCGCAAGCTCGTTGCGGATAACGGAACGCAAAGACATCAAATCTGTAGCGCGGGCTCGTGGCAGACGAACGGAAAAGTCAAAGACGCTGTCTAAAGCCCAGCGATCGAGGCTACACTGCTGACTAGCTCCATTCTTCTGTCCATTCTTCTTTCTCCCTCTCGACAATGATGGATAGACAGCGCGCGACATAGCACAAAGCAAACAGGTGGTACCGCACAGTAGCAATCGTGACGCGCCTGCGTCAACTCCACAGCTCCGCAGCGCACTGCCGTATCGGTGGAAACAAAATCCACTGTGTCGACGCTCGATGCGCGCAATCCGACCCTTTTTCTGCCACCCCGTCCTGCCTTTTCCGCTGAGAACTGCCTGTTTTCTGCACCCACTTGTCACGGCGCGTCAACGTCGACCCGACAGCTCAGAGCGTTCGCGTCCGTGCGCTGTGCAGAGACAGGCCAGACCCATTCGCGTGACACGTCGCTGTCAGGCCGAAACGTTGAAGTCACTGGCCGCCGCCTCAACGCACGACTGTCGCTCATTCCTCAAGTTCCTTCCGAGAGCCAAAAGGTCTCTCAGTGCGTCTCGTGTACTGCGCAGAAGAAGGACCGATTGACCGATTGACCGATGCACTGCAATAGCGCGACAGCCGACGCCGCGTGTCTCGCGTCTTTGATGCGTTGCAGCCCGAGCAGCGAGTGGGAGGAGACGCTCGATAACTTTGGCGCGCTCTCGGGTCTCTTGGGTCCGTGCGCTGGCCTGGACGCGCCCGAGTTGGCGAGTCTCGACGCGTTTTTGCTGGCCCCAGTCGACGACTTTGTCGACCCGTGCGCGGACCTGAACGCCACGCCGGACTCGCTCATGTGCGCAGCGGACCAAGCATTTCTTGACGAGAAGGAGCACGACTTGGCCATGTTGTTGGCTGGAGACGTGGACTTACATGCTACGCGCGACGAGCTGCAGCATTTGATGGAGTGGAAAGCAGAGCCTCAAGTACTGGACGAACCACTGCAGTCGTCACAGCGAGCGCTGGCTCTGCCAACAACAGCGCCCACAGTGACGGCGACGACGACGTCAGCAGCATCTGTTTATTGCCATCGCAAGCGGAAGACAGCAGAGCTGCATCGACTTCGAGACGGAAAAGACTGCACGAACGACGAGTGTCGTCCAACGGGCAAGAAGGTGAAGAAAGCGGAAGTACCGGTGACTGGGTCGACAGCGGTCGAGGCAAAGACGTGTGAACAGACGGAGAGAGTATATCGACGGCGATACGACATTTTGCACGGCATATTGGAGGCGTGGAACACGGGGGGCATTGAGGATCTTGAGGAAATTGCGGAGAACGTGTATGACGACCAGGTCACTCTGTATAGCCCCGATCACCCGGATTGTTTACGTGGCGTGGAAGCAGTAATGTCCCATTGGAGTTTACTGCTGGATGCCTTTCCTGACGGCATCATGGAGGAGTACATTATCGAACGCGAGGAAGGCAATGGCGACAAGATGAAGGCCACGTGGACCTTTAGCGGTACGCAGGTCTTCCCTATCTTTGGCGTCCAGCCTCGACACAAGAAGGTTTGCATTCGGGGTAAATCCTTTTTCGCATTCAAGAACGACCGAATTCGGCAGATAGTGCTCTCGTGGGACTACCGCGACACGCTACAGAAGCTGACGGGGACACCTCTTGACACGACCAGCAGCTTTGAAATAAGTGCATCGGCTCCAACACTTGTTTTTCACTCTTAACGAACAAATGACGAAACGTTGACAAGTGGCTCTTTCATGCCGTGACTCGTTGAAGAAGATAGATACGCCCTGGAATGGGTTCACCGCTTTCCTTGCGCACGGCGACGTCTTCTTGTAGAGCAATAGTAAACGCAAAGCGGGTTGCCAGAGACTCGATGTAGCCATGCGAGTGTTGGAACCGGCCAGACGGGGCCAAGCGAAAACCTGTTGCGCCACCCTCAATCCTTTTGCTGGTGTCAGGGTGGAAAAGCTCGATCGAAAAGGCCATCCATCCTGTGGAGGCACGAAGCGTGCGTGCGGCCGACTCAAACACTTGCTCCAGCGCCCCTACGTAAATCCACACGTCTGCGGAGATAATGAGGTCCAGCGACCCATCAGCGCACGACTCCAGGAATGGCGCAATGTCGGCCGCTGCGAAAATAAGCACGACGTCGGTCAGCCACCACGCAAATTCTCGTGGACCTTGTAAGTGACTAATAAACAGTCAATGCGTGTACATACTATGTAGCTCGTCGTAACTCCCTTGGGCACGTGTCTTTTCAATCATCAACGGCGAAATGTCCACCTTTGAGCCGAGTGGAACATGGCAAAAGTCAGTGCAAGCAGCCAGGCCAGAATGTGAAAGACAACCAGCTACTCACCCCGATGATGTGCTTCACATGTGGACGAAGAAGGCGGCCGCAAAGACCGGTGCCACATCCGACATCAGCCACAACCCAGTTTGGCTTGATAGTCCAGCCCTTGAGAATGAACCCAGCTGGCGATAGTTTCTGCAGAGCCTCGACAAGTTGCCAGGGTACGCGATACTCCAGACGTGCCACAAGTTTATCCTCAAAGCTGTCGGCAAGCTCGTCAAAAACCTTTGCAACATAAGCAGGAGCAGCTGTTCTAGTCTTAGCGCTCCCCTGCAGTGTGGCGAGCGTGTGTGCCGCGCGAACATGACTTTCTGGATGCGCTGAGAGGATCAAGCGATATCCGGCGACTACAAGGTCGGGTTCTTCCAGATAGTGCACAGATCTGATACGACACTACGAATGAGTAACACAGTAGCTTGCTAACACAGTAAGGTGTGCCGCGTACCGAAGAACTGTATGTGCTACAAAGTCACTGTCATCGAGGGTGACGACACGCAGCATGCTAGGCACAGCAAAGTATGTTTCGCCTACAGAAGAGCAGTTCATGAACACATGACGTCGGAGTCAGCACAACGAAAGCTAGGGAACCAAAAGCACCACTGCACGTACCAATTGTGTGCAAGATCACGGCAAGATTAAAGCTGGACTTTGTGCAAGTAGGACACCGAATCAAAACGTCGACGAAAGTTGACGCGGCTTGGAGAAACTCTCCCGATTCAAACAGCTCCAGAGCTTTCTCACGCATCATTACAAGCAATGTATCCTCGACTTCAAGAAACATCGGTGGAAGAGCGAATCGCGTGCGAGTTCCAGTGACTTGCCACAACGGCTGCAAAGCATCCCAGGCGAAGGCAGGCGCTCCATGATCCTTCACGAGCTCTCGGAGCACTTCCCCTGCAACCAATCGTTCAGCACTTGCATACGCCAACACGGTAAATACAGCACGTCTTCCTTTTCACTCACACGACGATAGTGATTCGACCCAGGACGCCGGTACGATCCTATCTTCGCAAAGCTGCCGAAGTTTATTCTGCACGTCGACACTCATGCAACTGAGTCTTATGCTAGCTGTCCCCATACCCGGCATAGAAGATACGTTGGCACCTCTAGTTGCTGCATCGTTTTCTCCGTCATTACTTGTCCCTCCATGTCCAGCATGACGCACGCCGGCAGGTCCGCCACTTTGTACACTCTGCACCGCGACCGGAACGTTCTGACCGCCAGAGACAGAACAGTATTGTCAACGTCACGCACGCACACACACACACACAATCAGCGCTGTTGTGACAGCGCAGCCGCTTGCACGTACGACGGATCGAGACGCTGTACGTTCGCGTCGCCGCAGCGCTCGCTGTCGTCCGTCCGACACACTTGCAGCATTTCAATCAGCTGGTGCTCGCGACGCCGCGCGTTGACTGCATCGAGAACTGCGCGTAGCCTCGGCATCGCGACATCGTCTACAGGGTGCGTCCAGCTGCTTGTGAAGTACAGGAGCGTGTACGCCGCGGCGCCTACTTTTGCGTGCAGCGCTGGCGTCGCCATCGGGTATGTGGCGGTCGTGAAGTTGCTTTGGGATCAGTGTGTTTTATTCGGTTAAAGTAACGCTTATGTAGTGTAAAAGTAGGTGCACGTCGTACCTTCCTGGCCAAATACAGGGGGGGGTAAAAAATGCCCAGATAATTGAAAAGAAAAATGCTCCAGCTAATTGGAAATAAAAACTGCCCAACGTCCTAGAATACCCTTAAGTTAGTGTGGTACACATAAAACCACACGTCCCTAATCGTTTTCGTTTACCATTTTACGGCCGTGACCAACCCCCGCCCTGTTTGGGAAGCCGCGGAGAGGGTTCTGCCGCGGGCGTGCTGCGCTTGCAGCCACCAGTTGCAGGCGCAGACGCGAGATATGAGGACGTAAACGCGTCCTCGTAGCATCGGTCCCGGCCGTAAGCACAGTCAATTGGTGCTAATGTTGTTGATACTAATGTTATTGCGTTCGTTGATGTTGTTCAAGTTGCTTTATCAATGTTGCTGCTGATGTTGCTGCTGCTATTGTTGTTGTAGGGTGCTGTAGTTGCTGATGGTGTTGCTCTGTTGATGATGCTACTGCTGGTTCTACTTCTGTTAAGGCTGTTGTTGTTGTTGTAGATGCGGTGGTTGCCATTGTTGTTGCTATTGTCGATATTGCTGGTGCTGTTGCAGCTGCAAGATTCAGTCGTTGCAGTCGATAAGGCGCGTGCACGAACGCCCGCATCACGTGCGCGCTGGTGCTCAATGAATGACAGTATACGTGTGTGTGTGTGTGTGCGTGTGTGTGTGTGCGTGTGTGTGTGTGGCTAGAATAAGACGAGTATGGTGCTGCTCCTACCGAGCTGCATTTAAGACTAGTGACTCGGTTTAATATGACGATGAAATTTAAGCAACTTGCACTTTGAATTGCCAGCACCTACTGTGAGGGGTTGAGTAGGTTGCATCGTGCTCATATAAATTGCGTTGAGAATCACCTCAACCAGAAACAGAACTTGTATAGATGTAATGCGTTGAGTATTTTAGGACGTGGGGCATTTTTTTATATTCCAATTATCTGGGGCATTTTTTATGAGTAAATCTCAAAACCAGTACCACAAATGCACAAAAGTTCCAAAAAACATATACTATACTCAACCTAAGTATAAAAAACACGCTAAATAGTGTCAACCACATTATACTAAACTGCAACATGGGTTAAGAAACTGCTTGATTGCTTGGGAGAGCGAGAGGGTAGTAAATGAAACAGGCAACGACAGTAAGCGCGGCAGCAAGTAAGTTGAAATACATTCGATTGGCCCATTCGTGCCCAATGCTAACAATTCATATAGCTACCAGCTCGCACCGTGCCTCTTTTTATATCGTCATGTAAGCAGCTGTAGAAGCCTTAAATTCCGTGTCTGACCAATCTTCCCTTTGTGGACCAGCAAGGATCGTTCGGGGTGAACGATTGGGGTAACATCGGTGGTCAGGGCGGCACGCCTAGGCTCGGCGGTCTAATGGCCCAGACCCTATTACGGGCTTTGATGCTAGAAAGCGCGGAGTTGTTTAGAATGTGTGGGGCCCTATGTGTTGGAAACTGCGTGAGTTGTTTAATGCACTTGTGTGCGAAGAGGTAGAAGTAGAAGTGAATATATTAGTGTGTTATCTTCGTTCGCTAACACCATAATATAAACATGCACTGCAACTTGACCGTAACATGATTGCGTCCGTTCTCCTGCTTTTCTTCATAAGACGCCTCCATGTCGCTCAACGGTCATGTCGCCACCTCGTCCCGCCATCTGGTCCGGCACCATCCTGTCACGACACCTGTCTACGTCGTGCTCTCGTCGCACCATCTGTCACCGGTCGTAACCTCGTCTCACCATCTATCAAGATGTTGGTGGACTCGACCAATCAGGTGTCACTGTCACATGTTCTTGCAGTTGAACCTGCTGTGACTATGACTGACAGAAACGTTTCTGAACAGGCATTTCTAACACTCCTCTTTAGTGTCATCCTGGGTGGTCTTCAACCCGAACATCGCGCGCAGCTCCTTCATTCTTGGTGCCAGCAGTGACTTCGTCAGGATGTCGGCCATCATGTCTTGAGACTTGACAAACTTTGGAGCCACGATCCCGTCCTTTGCATATCCGCAGATAAACTTGAACCTGATGTCCACGTGCTTGGCGCTTGTCGTGCTCTTCTCAGACTCGAGCTGCTTGATGGCCGCTTGGTTGTCCATCCACATTGGCATCGGCTTGATCACCTTCAACTTCAATTCGTTGAGTAGTTCCTTCATGCCGAGCAGTTCACGTCCGGCCTGCGATGCTGCGATGAACTCCGCTTCCATCGTGCTTAGCGAAACTCCGGACTGCTTCTTGCACAACCAAAGGACAACAGAGCCATCCATGGTTAACACACAACCAGACATAGACTTACGGTCCGACTTTTCTGCCGCAAAGTCGGCGTCGCTCCAGCACTCGACACGCATGTCCGTTGATGCCGATCCGCTGCCACCAAGATATAACTTCAGGTTTTTATCATCTTCAGGTAACGCATGATCCTCTTGGCGGTCTTCCAATCCGTGAGTGCCGGCTTGTGCGTTTGTCTTGTCTCCTTGTGCACCGCAAAGCAAATGCCCGGCCGCGTGAACCTCGCAATCTAAAGCAGGCTTCCGACCGTTGAATGGAAAGACTTCATGTTTGGATCGTCCTTCGCACCTCTTGCTGGAAAATATTCTTGATCAACCTCATCCTCTAGGTTGCAATCATCGCCGATCGGGGATCGCAATCCGTTTGCCGAGTCCAACCCGAAGTCCTTTAGCAGCAATTCGATTGTCACTTGTTGATCCAGAATGTAGCCCTTCGATTCGTCCAATTGAATGCGTAGACCCAAAAACTTGCTCACGACGCCCAGATCCTTGATCGACAAGCACGCCATGTCCGTGAAGAAGCTGTCCACTGCACTTGTTTTGGTTCCTGTGACGAGCAGATCATCAACGTAGACACCGACCACCGTGCATATGTTACCTCCGTACTTATAGTACAAGCACATGTCCGTCGTGCACTGTCGAAACCCGCTCTACTGTAACTTGGAATCCAGCAACTTGCTCCAGAGCCGTCCAGCTTGCTTTAGTCCATATAGCGACTTCTTCAAAAGTAGTGCCAACTCGTTGGTCGACCTCGTTCCCAGACCCTTGCGTTCGTCATCGGCTATGTCCATCCCCATGGGCACCTTCATGTAGATGTTAGATGATCCTCCTTTTCTGCCTTGACGTATGTGTTTGGCACGTCACCGTGACGAGATGGTACCTTCCAGCGTCTTGAAAGCATCAGGATCATCTTCACCGTGCTCGAATCCATCACAGCTGCAAAAGTGAGATTGGAATCATTACCGAAGACTTGTTCGTTTCCACAGACGACCAGACGAGCCTTGTACCGTTCGATGTCCCCGTTTGCGTCGGTCTTCGTCTTGTATACCACTTGTTGTGAAGTACATGGGAATATTTGGGTGATACGACGACTGTCCAGACGTCGTTTGCCTTCAACGCGTCCAGCTCTTCGGTCATAGCAACCTTCCATTCTTGGTGGTGTTTGCTCTTGATAGCTTCACCATAGTGTTTTGGATCTCGTGCTATGAGTGCGTTGACGACGTTCCTCGATCCAGATGTATCTTCACTCGGCACCTCTTCAACTTGTTGTATGTCCGTTGATCTTGTACCGTGTCGCTCTCTCTTCCATCCTGACTGGCGAACCTTGCGATGTTAACTGTTACGGTTTCTCCCACACCGTCGCCCCTGACCATTCGAACTATCGACCATCGTTGACTCCTCCTGAGGGTCGATCTTTTCTTGAAACGGGTCGAGGTGCTCTTCAGTTGGCAACGATTCAATGTTTTATACGTGCTGAGTCACCAGGACCACCTTGTCCTTCGGGATGTAAACCTTGTACCCCTTCGTCTCATCGCTCTTGCCGATGATGATAGCTGCCCTTCGGCGCTCACCGAGGGACATGTTTTCGCATCGACGTGGACCATGCAGACGGATCCGAACGTCACAATGTCGGTAATCCTCGGCACCTTCTTCGTTAGAAATTCCATCGGGGATACCCCGCCCGGGTTAGACTTGGTCCTGATTCGGTTCAAAATGTAAGTTGCGTACTCCGCCGCATCACCCCAGGAAATCAAAGGCAGGTTCGAGGCGAACACCATGCTTCGGACCATGTTCATGATCGTCCGATGCATGCGTTCATCCTTGCCGTTGCTTGCTTGGTTCCTGGCCTCGCTCACTTGACGCGAAACCCCGTTGCCTTGCAAAACATGTACAGAGTCTTGTACTCCCCGCCTCTATAAGTGCATAGCACATAAATCTTGCATTGGCACTCGCGTTCAAATCGCACGGAAAAGTACTTGAACTTGATCGCAGCAACGTCCTTAGTCTTGTCCAAGAACACACGGCAGTAGCTGGACCGGTGATCAGTGAAATTAACCAGGTACCGATTACCCAGACGATCTCGTGGGGTCATCGGTCCCTTTAGGTCGCTGCATATCACCCCACCTATAACACCAATGAGGGAGTTTATGCCGGTGTCCACCTTTGACTGCGCTCGCTTGGTTTGCTCCCCTTGAGCACAATCCAAGCAGTTCATGCGTCTCGTGTCTGTCAGCTTAATGTATGATGCGGGGCCCTTGGTCATTTTGATGATAGTATCAAAACAAAGATGACCAAGCCGGCAATGGAAGTGCATCAAGGTACCACACTGAACATCCGAATCGGATTCATATTCAGGTGAATTGATCACAGACATCATTGCCTCCCGTGGTTAACCCGTGACCATCGCATGAGTTCCCAACATCTTGAAGACCAGCACATTGTTGGTGCGGTCGACATCCATAATTGGTGTACCTTGTGACCCGTAGGCCAACACACGAACCCTGATTGATATTCGAGTACGCATCCTTTCGCCTCGGGCTTACCATATTATATCATATTCCGCTCGAGGTTGTAAGCGTATTGCACATCGAGGAGTCAGATGGTCT